GTTGTTGTTGTTGTTGTTGTTGTTAGGTAATCTTAGCCGGTGTTCGTGGGTACGAATCCACGGATGTCAAAGAATTTGTTTTTTACAGATCCCTTAGCTCGTGTGGCTCCCCATTTCTTTCTGAGTTCTTGAGCATGAATTGTACCTGCTGGGGCAAAAGAGCAAGGGCATGTATGGACATACAGGGAGCGGGCGAGGGGTTGAGCGCGGCAATGCCGCTTGTTTGGGACAAAAACCGACTGCAGTCAATGAGATCCTGGAGGCGTATAGCAACGCTTCTACTTTTGTGTTGTCATGCATAACTGATATATCCTGCGGTTAAACAAAAGACTTGTTAGTAAACTGGCATGACCAAAATATTTTCAGCGGAGCCAATGCATGCAAATCTGTGGAAAATTCATCCGAGTCAGAATCGTTTCGGACTCGATTAAAAATAACAGAACATGCACCGTTAAAAACGCTGAAAACAGCCCACCATGATAAATAAACTCTGAAAGCCGCTAAGGGGAGGTGCATGATCATGTGGGCGACAAACGCTATTCACTGTGTCAATCCGCATGAGCACGTCACAAGCCGGAGAAACGTCCGCCAGGCATGCGCAAAGACCACTCTTGCTGCAAACTGCACTTTTTTCTCTGTGATTGATCGTTTGAAAACAAAATGTTGTGTAATGTGCTCTTTCAAAAGAATGCAAAAGAACGTTCCGGTGCCTCGAGCTCATTGTTTCATTATTATCAAACGCGACCCAGAAATTACAAGCACGTAATGTTGCTTTGTTCTCAAACAAAAGGATGCGTTAACGTAGGAGTAGCAGCTTCTATTGTCGATGATTCAGTCACACTCCGGAAGTACCGTGTACAGGATCGTATGCTGATTAATGATATCTGCACTTTAGTAATCGTGAAAGACACTGAAAGACATGGACCACAAAACATTTACTTGCCATCAACAGCAAGTGCCTTGCTAAGAGCCAGAATGTATTGAATCACAGTTCTTTTTGCTCTCCGATCGTTAAAGCTGGTTTGTTAGGAGGTACAGTGTATTTATTACCCTGCGAGCAGAGTCGCTTCGATCTTAGCTTATCTAGGAAAGATCGAAGCCACTCTGCTCGCAGGGTACAAGTAAATCAAAACGCTTTTGAAGTTAAAACACACTACTGATCGCAAGGCATGTTAACTTTGTTGATGTCGCGGCTCACATTGGCCGCCATCATGGAGCTACTAGACAATACAAATGCTTATTTGAAAATCTAGACGGTTCACAGCGTCTCTACTTTTCAACGGGCGCTAAAAAAAAAGGGAGCGAAGCGAGCTCGAGGCACGCGGTTCTCTCGCGATTCTATGCACGGCCTTCAACGATCGAATAAAAATACGAGAAAATAGAGGGCTGTGAACAATCTATTGAAATCCAGAGTAAAACAATTTGCCATCCTGTGACCAAGTAATGGTCATGTTATTATGTAAACAACGGGCAAAACAAGATTAAAACGGGAACAGCGAAAACGAAAGTGTGAGGGCAACTGGAACAAATTACAAACTATAAGTAATAGTAATTGGACCGAGTGCATGAAAAACAATTCAGGGAGCAATCGGGCGAGTAGCTGCGCGCAGCGTGAGGCCGATTTGAAATCACGATGGAGAATTTTGTTATCTCTGATTAATGAAGGAAGCTACAAGAAAATAAAAAGAAAATAAATATCAGTACTGAGAGAAATAACATGGCCTATTGCGGCCAAATGACAGAAAGCTAGCTAAAACAGTAATATAACTAGGTTGCTAAGTAGACTCGGCTCAGTAACACTACAATGCAGAAACTGAAAAGCCAACTCCTCTTATTACAATATTGCTCAATTGAACTAAGAGAAGTAACACAATGATGATCTGTTGAAATGTTTATATCAATTTAACGTACTGCCTGATCATTCAGCTCTTTTAAGCTGTATAGTCAACAAAGGTTTGAAAGCAGCTAACTCAGAACAAGCGGTTCTAAACTACTTGTATTTGATTTCACATCGTTTATGAAAAGCCACCCTGCAAGCAGAGCCTTTTCTTACGGTACATATACTTTGTACCGAGAAAATGGTGTGCACGAATCGTGTCAAGTTCTTGTTGAGCATGCTCAGCGCGTTACTAAGATACAATTTCGATGTAAAATGTGAGCAGTCGTCGTGTAGAACTTGGAGGTTTTGCATCCTACCCTTAGTTTGCAAACTCCAGTAAAATTGAATAAAAAGAGTTAAGGTGAAGAATGAAAAGGATTCGTGCTGCCTATGTTGTGGGCTGAATTCCTGAATTTGTGCGGAGCTGGAATTAAGTACAACTTACTGCGGAGTCACGATGGCCTTGCCAAGAAGCTCGCAAAAAAGTCGTTCGTCTTAAACTTAGAATTGGAAGAGTTTAGAAGCAAATACAACCGAAGCAATCCGGCAGGATCAAGTTGCAAAAATACAATCAGCACTGGAGGACAATAGTTGTAAGGACATTTAAATACAAATTTCCTTTCTAATCAAGTACACACAAGTCGTAATCGTTCTTCGTATGTCCGCGTGAATAGTTTTGTTTGCTTTTTGCCAATATATCTGCAATTTGTATTCACCTTCGCTGTAAATGTGTCACCTGAGCACCCTGCTGACCATCATTACCGGATTAGCGAGCTATAGGCAATTATACTAATTAAAGTAAAGTTAAAGACACCAGAAATAGAATGACAGCAATGGTCAACCTGGAAAGTTAGGCAGTTTGTTCTAAACACACATATTATAAGTGAAATCGAATTTTTTTATTTGTACTCCTAAGAGACATTGCACCTCCTGATAATGCCAAATAAATTTGTTAAATGTGATCTGATCATCCTCTTGACTTAATATAAACTGTCAAAAATGCTACAAATTGCTAAAATTACAATGAAAAGGGTTATCAAGATAAAACTTTCTCTGATCTCTCTTCTTGTAGAAAGTTTTCTCTTGATCGTCCAAGCATAATTCATTAAATATTCAGAGTGGTTTGATTATACCACTGCTATAGCAACCTCTTAGGTCAAGAGGGTTGATCACAATTTTGGACATTTGTTCCTTAATGTAATATTATGTTAACCTCAAGTAACATTGGGTGGCCAATGTCAATGTGAAAAGTATTAATAATTACACTGAGACATTAACCGGGAGGCGGCGTGGCCGAGTAGTTTAGGGCGCTGGATTTGAAATCTGGAGGTCCCTGGTTCAAATCCTCCTCCCTACCGCCATCTGGATTTGTTCTCAGTAGCCCCGAGTTCAACTCCTCGATCGCGTTGTGTAAATAGCTAACTGGTCAGCCTCCCACCAGTTGGGATTCTTAATAGTTTATGTTATATTTGAAATACTTGTTTATTTATTTACAGTGTCCCTAATTAGCACATTAGTGCTAAATACATCGACACTTAAATAAAGTGATTATTATTATTATTATTATTAACATTTGCCACCTTCTCCCTAACTTAAAGATCAGAGTCTGACTCATCACTGTCAGGTGGATATCACTCTGGAACTGAGAACAGAAACTCTTCACAAACACTCCAATCCATTTTACTTAGTTCTTTAAAGTGTGTTGTAACTTCTACATTATTGAATATGTTATTTACCACAAGCAATATTTCTGTAACAAGCTTTTCATTATAAATTGAGAAGTTTTACATAATGTAATCAACTGTGAATAAATACGCTAAGTCCGCAGCTAAATCCAAAATAATGACATCATCACCTTGAAAAAATTAAAAACACCTCTAGATCTGAAATATTGGCTTTACAGGTCACAGCTAAATCCTTTAACAACTCTGTGAATGTCCCTCTTTCATCCATGTTAACTTGCCTTTCTAAAGTACATGGACAATAAATATTGTCAAGATCAGTGCAATCTTAGACATTTCTTTTGGGCAGGTTCCACAATCTTCTCATTAGAAAAACTGTTTCAAAAACTGTTTCCACATGCCTACATTTAACTTTGTTTTTAACAAATGACCTCATTGGGAGATCGTAATGACACAAATGAGAACCATCCCTTTCACCCCTTCCAACTACTTGAAGGTAGGATTCCATGTTCTCTGGCACTCCAAAAATAACAACCCTTTTGATGTTGGGTATGTTAACTCCTGTTCCCTGGGCACTAGCCGCTATTACCAGGTGAGTATTTCCATTGTGAGACCGTAAATCAGAAAAAAAAAACATTATATACCCTTGATGTCTTGAGAGGTCTTTGAGTGATACATGGTCACTAATTTTACGTTTTCATGGAAGGAAGTGTTGAAAGGTGTCATCAATGTCACCACACGCTTTTAACTGACTGACAGAAAATAGTGATTTTTTCAGCATGCACATTGTTTACCATATCATTGATAAGCCAATTAAAGGTGTCCTGTGGTTCACTCTCAAAGTGCGTTCCTTTGGGGTGATCTGGATCAGGATCTGTGATTCAAGATCACTCAGATCATGGTACATCAAAGGAACTGATGAATCCACTCTGGTCACGAATTCATCAGCTCCTTTCAGAATTTGATGCAAAATGATCTGAGTGATCTTGGATCACTAATCCTGATCCAGATCATCCCAAAGGAACACACACTCAGCTTTTTCAATAATATATTTGACATTTCGTTTGTCAAGTGACATCCTGATGGTTTTGACAGCTGTCATATTTAACATCTTATTAATTTTTCCCCAACTTTGCGCTGGCTGTT